ATAAATACATGTTCCTCCAGAGGCTTCCATGGATTTCCCGGGCAATACATTCAGCTCTTGAGTTCTTTTGACCAGGTTGTATGGGGAAACCCTAGAAGTCCTGAGTTGTGCAAATTTGGCTACTAACTGAAAAGTTGGTGATTTGAATTTCCCCAGAAGCACCTCAAAAGTCCTAGTGATCTATTTCCAAAGGTCATGCCATTGAAAGTTCTCTGGATCTTTCTTTCACTCCAAATCGATAGAGGGTAACTGATTTGGTTTTGCTTTTATGGGAAACTCTACACAGGCAATCTACATAGACAAAGGGCAGGGATATCAAATCCTTCCCTCTATTCAATGCTATTTATGCTTTCTTAAGATTCTATAAGGTACACAGTTTTGCAATAGTTCATGAAAAGCCATCTAGCTCAACATTATGGAATTAAATAAGCTCTTCATTCACCAAATGTTCTGCCAGTAGGAATCTTTGTATTTTTGTCAAGGTAAATGAACAAAGTATTTACCAAGCCTCATTTAAAACTACATTTTCAAGTTTAATGGCCCATATTTCTACCAGATATCCTTCCTCCAAAACATCTGGATGTTATAGTCTATTTGACAGTACACAATCTACCAGAATTCCTGCAATGAAACCTACTTATTTAGATAGGAGTTTCAACTTAACCATCTTTTGACATCAAAACCATCAGAAACCAATTTGTTTAATACAATAAGTAGTCCTTTGCTCCAGAACTAGACATTTGTCACTTGAGCATCTGGGCAAATATAAGCCAAGAATATAGGTTAGGTTCTCACAGTAGTTGATGTAAATATGCCACAGTAAATATGTCTTTTCCCACCACTAACCTCATGGATGGTTCCCAGAACTTTGCTCCACACCATGCAGTTTTCACATATTTCTAACAGACTTGGGTGGACTGACATGTATTCATTTCTACACTGTAAGCTTGGCAGCTACTTAAGTGGCTCCTCAAATATTTTATGATCGTGTACATCTTTATTAGTCTTTATTTCAGTCATAACTATTTATGTGCCTTTCAACAGCACATGTGGTTAAGATAAATGAAGTCACTGTTTTCCTTTTTGAATCAAGGACAAGAGCCCATCCTGGTATTGTTACTGCACTCTTTTAAGCACATCCAAAGAGAAAACCATATGGACATCTCAATGGGAAGTCATTAGCAGATAAGACTGCCTTGACCCTACCTGTTTGATAAATGACAATATTTCCTTGAAATTTGAGCTCAAAGACCTAATTTCTGTGGTTTCTCCATCTTCACTTCTGGTTACTGTCCAACAAGGCTTCTTTTCATTGTCCAGACTCCCTTCAGTTTTATATATGCATGCAGATATATGTGTGTGTGTGTATCCACACAGCAGCTCTGGTAGCATAGTGGTTAAAAATGGGGCTGCGAACCTTAAGGTCAGCAGTTTGAAACTACAAGCTCTTCCATGGGAGAAAAATGAGGTGTTCTGCTCCTGTAAAGATTTACAGCCTCGGAAACCCTATACAGGGTCGCTATGAGTCGGAACCGACTCCACAGCACATAACCACCACCACCACCAGTTTCCTCCATGTTTTCTTTCCATGTCTTTTTTTTTTAATCTTTTCTCTTCTATCCCATCAAGAATAAGCAGATATAATGCCACACAATTGGTGGTACAGCATAATATCGCTTTTTAAATGATTAAAGGATCCCTCTCTATAGGCCCTTCAGTTTAAGTGGTGGCAGAGATGCACAGGTATCATGATTCCTCAGTGCGGCTGGACCAGAAATCCCCCAGGTGGAGGCCTTTAATAAACAGAAATGTATTATCTTACAGTTGAAGAGGACAGAAATCCAAGTTCAGAGTGCTGACTCTAGGGAAGGTTTTCTGTCTGTGGTGGTGGCTGTGTGCCGTGGAGTCGGTTCTGACTCATAGCGACCCTGTACAGGGTTTCCGAGGCTGTAAATCTTTACAGGAACAGAAAGCCTCATCTTTCTCCCACGGAACAGCTGGTAGTTTTGAACTGCTGACCTTGCGGTTCACAGCCCGATTCGTAACCACTACGCTTCTGTCTGTAGGTTCTAGAAAAGGCCCTGGTCTTCGTTCCGCTTACAGAGGCCCAGTGTTCCTTGTAGAACTCCATGTGCTTTCATAGCAATCTTCCCTTGGATCTAGGCGCTTCCCAGTTCAGGGACCTCAGGGCCAAAGGATGCACTCCATTCCCAGCTCTTCCTTCCTTCTTGGGAACAATAGTTCCCTCTTTCTCTGCTCACTTATCTCTTGTTTTATCTGTTGTAATACAAAAGGTGTTACAGGCCACACCCCAGGGAAACATCCCTCATATCAAATCAGGCGTGTGATAGGAGGTAGGATAAGCACTCCACCGAAAGGTCAAAGGTCAGTTTGAACCACAAGGTCGGTAGTCCAAACTCACCAGCTACTCGTCGGAAACCCTATACAGGGCCACTATGGATCAGAACCGTCTGGACATCACTTAACAACAACCACAACAAATCCCATTCTTAACCCTTTTATTGGTTTATCTTATCAAATCACAGCATAACAGATCTTTCCATAACTGCCACATTGTGTTATTAAGGAACGGCAAAACCACTGAGAATCAGGACTCAGCCATGTATTTGGGGGGACACAATTCAATTCATGACAACAAGATAATAAGTTTCCTTGTAGGCCACATTTTTACTTTGAGACAGCCTTGGTTTAGGGGTTTGAGGACATGATTTTATGGAACATCCCAGCTAACTGGTCTAATAAAGTGTTTAGTGAGTGCCTAGGGTCTTAAAAGCTTGCAAGTGGCTACCATACACAGCATGACAATTGGTCTCTGTTCAGCTAGAGCAACAGAGAAAGAAGGAGAGTGAGGAACAGGAAGAGACTGTCTGGCTAATAGCCTCCATGAACAAATGCCCCCTGTTGCCTAAAGACCAGTAGAACTGGATGGTGTCCAACTATCATTCCTGAGCATTTTGATGAAAAATTCTATAGAATTCTGATCAAAAGGGAAGAAATACAGAAAATAACTTCAAATTCTCATGGGCTCCAGAAGTTTTGGAGCTGAGGAAGTTGGTTGGGTAAACCCCTGAAACTATTGCCTTAAGATCATCTTTAAAATTTAAAACAAAAATGTTTTTCTTAAAACCAAATAGTTGTTTCATTTAACTAGTGAAAATGTCTATTTTAGCATTACGCTTCTTAAAGAACTCTCTCTATAGGATCAAAGTGACAAAAGCAACTAGAAAAATTAGGTAGCAAACTTAGGGGGCAGTGAGTTTATATTAATGTTGTTGTTGTTGTTAAGTGCTGTCGAGTCGGTTCCAACCCACAGTGACCCTATGTAGGCTTTCCAAGGAGCGAATGGTGAGCTTGAACCACTGACCTTGTAGTTCAGATGGCTTTGCAGTCTGGCACATTAACCCACAGCGCCACACCAGGACTCCGTATATTACTGAGGGAGGGGCAATTCAGAAAAAACAAAGTGAGAATGGTACATAATGTGAAGAATGTAATTGATTTGACTGAATTGTACATGTAGAAATGATTTCATTATGTATATTCTAAATAATATCAACATTTTTATAAAATAAAATTTTTAATTCTTTAAAGAATTGTACTATGCACTTGTTGTTAAGTGCCATCAGGTCGATTCCAACTCATCGTGACCCTGTATAGAGGAGCAATTGGGGAGTCTGAATTGCTGACCTTGCAATTAACAGTCCAGTGCTTATCCTACAGCACTACACCAGGACTTGGGAGAAAGTTCTAAGTCTATTTTGTTTTTTTTAATGCATGCCCTGTCAGGTTCCTCAAATTCCTCTAGGTAGGATGATGAATTCAGTGTTAGTCAAGTTTGAGATACCTTTGGGCAACACAGGGTATATTGGCCCCTTCATTGTGACCCCACTGGATCCTACGGCTCCATCAGTAAAATACAGCTATTTATCTTTTTTCCACCTTGTTTTGAATACTACCTATCACAATAATTATTATGATGTAAGATTGGTGAAGCTAAACTTTCACTCAGTAAAATTTGTTCAGATTGAAAAATTGACTTAACCCAGGAAAACTAGCCTTGGCAGGGGAATTTTAAAACGGGCCACAAAAGATACCTTTTTGGTGAAAAGCCATATTAATATGATTCTGATTAAATGTTTGTATTCAAAAACATAGAATCAAAACATCTTTGGGTGCAAGATGATAGGTCAAATCCCCAAGTAGGTGGGTCCAGGAAGCAATTAGAATGCTATGTCTAGAGCTGAAAAGAAGTCAGGGCTAGCAATAGATGTTGAAGTCATGACTATGTATGTATTAACCATCACTCAATTACATGCTCCTCAATCACAGAAATTATTTTCTTTTGCATCCTCCATGAAATAATGATACATTGTTGTTGTTGTTGTTATGATGTGCCGTGGAGTCGGTTCCAACTCATAGCGACCCTGTACAGGGTTTCCGAGGCTGTAAATCTTCACGGGAGCAGAAAGCCTCTTCTTTCTCCCTTGGAGCAGCTGGTAGTTTCAAACTGATGACCCTCAGGTTAGCAGCCCAATTCGTAACCACTACGCTACCAGAGCGATACACAGTGGGAACATAATTAATGCTTGTTAAATGGTAGCTTCTTTCTAGTCAGTCCTTCAAGCATTATGAACAGAGGCAGCACCTGGAAAGTTAATCATTATGATTTAGCGATTACTGAACACTTCTATAAAATGAGGTCTGTTCACAGCGTGAAGAATGATCATCAGAGGGAAACTAAAGCCCAGAAGACTTGAACATCAGTAATGTGATCTTAAGTCCTACCAAGAAATACAAGGGGGACTCCAGAAAGTTCATGGAAAAATTCCATTATCTTTTCATTCCATTTTTTTCCACAAACTTTTTGAAACCCCCTCATATGCTATTTCCAGGCCATAAGATGAAATTCTCATGTTCCTTATCACTCATGAAGCTTGATTTTTGTTTTTTAATTTTCTTTTTAAAATCTGCTTCCATAGATTTCCTCATTCTCCACATAGCAAGATCATGGAAGATCTAGATGAAATGTTATTTGAAGAATTTGAGAACTATTCCTACGCCATGGAATATTACCTTCCGGAGTCAGAGATGGAGGAGAAAGTCCACCTGGGAATTGTTCACTGGATCTCCATGGGGTTATACTGTTTAGCATTTATTCTGGGTGTTCCAGGAAATGCCATTGTAATTTGGTTCACAGGGTTCAAGTGGAAGAAGACCGTCACCACTCTCTGGTTCCTCAATCTGGCCATTGCAGATTTCATCTTTGTTCTCTTCCTGCCTCTCTATATCTCCTACGTGGCCATGAATTTCCACTGGCCCTTTGGCATCTGGTTGTGCAAAGCCAATTCCTTCATTGCTCAACTGAACATGTTTGCCAGTGTTTTCTTCTTGACAGTGATCAGCCTGGACCGCTATGTCCACTTGGTCCACCCTGTCTTGTCTCACAGACACCGAACCCTGAAGAACTCCCTGATTGTTATCATACTAGTCTGGTTTTCAGCTTCTCTGATTGGTGGTCCTGCCTTATACTTCCGGGACACTGTGGAGCTTGCTAACCACACTCTTTGCTATAATAATTTTCATGAGAATGATTTTGACCTCAGACTAATGAGACACCACGCTCTGACTTGGGTGAAATTTATCATTGGGTACCTCTTCCCTTTGATAACAATGAGCATTTGCTACTCATGTCTCATCTTCCAAGTGAAAAAGCGAAGTATCATGATCTCCAGTAAGCATTTCTGGACTGTACTGGCTGTGGTCATAGCCTTTTTGATTTGTTGGACTCCTTATCACCTGTTTAGCATTTGGGAACTTACAATTCACCACAATAGCTACTTCTCCCAGATGCTGCAGGCTGGGATCCCCCTCTCCACTGCTTTGGCATTCCTCAATAGCTGCTTAAATCCTATCCTCTATGTCCTAATTAGCAAGAAGTTCCAAGCTTGTTTCCGTGCCTCAGTTGCAGAGATACTAAAGTATACGCTGTGGGAAGTCAGCTGCTCTGGCACAGTGAGTGAACAGCTCAGGAACTCTGAAACCAAGAACCTGTGTCTCATGGAAACAGCCCAGTGAGTTAGTGTTTATCCACAAATCAGCAAGAGGCTTTTGTGTGGGTCCCACAGCAGATGCATTCAGATTAAATTTTGTTCCAAGATACAGAGCTGACCTTTTGTAATTGTTGTTGTTGCTATCCCATCTAGAGGCATCTCGTTTTTGTGTAAACATGAAACTTATCGGTGTCATTCTTGCTAATTCTACTACAGTGGATTAATCAACACTGTTTAAGCAATATTAGATACTAATTTTTTAATTTTATTAACTTTGTAAAAGCTATAAACCGTAATATTGAAGATATGGTGAGCTAATTTCAAAAATGTTAAAACATGCTTTCTTAAGATCATTTTAATTTTGTACAATTAACCTATTATACCTACTTTTAGATGTCACATATGGGCTTCATTTCTTTATGTATATACATTTATGAATTAAAGTTAGAGTTGGTTGTATTATTTTAAAACATCCTTTCCAGTTATCTGTTGATGTATAATAAATTGCCCCAAAGCTAGTGACTTTAAACAAAAATTTATTATTATATCCCACAATTCTAAGGGTCAAGAATTCAAATAAGGTACAGAGGAGGGCCTAGCCTCTCTGCTTCTGTGGACTGCAAACCACAAGGTCAGCAATTCGGGCCCAGCAGCCACTCCATGGGAGAAAGATGAGGCTTTAGGCTTCCTCAAAAATTTACAGTCTGGGAAAAACTACAGTGTTGTTATGAGTCAGAACTGACTTGGTAGTACTTAACAAAAACAACATCATAAATTTAATGTTTTTGGAAAACTCTGAGTGTGTGCAATTACATATAAAATTGCTATAAACATAAAACATCAACATCCAAATATAATAGACAGGTAGTCCACTCTCAGAATGACTTTGAGAAGAAGAAGAAGAAAAAAAAAAAAAAATTATGACATCTTTATCTCAGGACCAGGCAGAGTTTCATTCTGTGTATCACAGAGTTACTATGAGTCAAAACGGACTCAACGGCACCTAACAGCAATAATAATCTCATTCTACCTTCTGTTCCTATAGTTACATATGGAGTCCTGGTGTGCGTTGCGGGTTAATGCATTGGACTGGAAGGTCGACTTGAACCACAAGGTCAGCGGTTCTAGCTCACCAGCCATTCCTCAGAAACCCTATACAGGGTCACTATGAATTGGAACCAACTCCACGTCAGTTAACAACATAGTATATATACTTCAACATAATGTCAACAATATATACCATTATGTCAGTAACATGTTGCAAGTTAGATTGTAATAGTATTTTGACCTTTATACAAAACCATAGATAGGTAGATATTTTAGGAGATGATTAAGACACTTATAGTTCCATTGAAAACATCTTCCCTCCCACAGATGGCACACATACCATGCTTTGGTAAACTCTAGTTTTGGACCAGGAGTCCTGGATTATGGTCTTCACTTTGCCTCTAAATAGTTATGGACTGAGCAAGCTGCTTTTCCAGGCTTACTTTTCCTCTTCTATAGGCTGAGGACTCCTGGTGTGATGCTGTCAGTTCAGCACTGGACACTGGACTGTAAACCACAAGGTCGGCAGTTCAAACCCACCAGCTGCCCCTCAGAAACCCTATACAGGGTTGATATGTCAGAACCAACTCGATGGCACTTAATAAAAACAATAGGATGAAGAAACAGCCCTGGTGGCATAGTGGGTTAAGCATTGGCCTGCTAACTGCAAGATCAGCAGTTCAAACCCACCAGGTGCAGGAGAAAGATGAGGCTGTCTACTCATAAAACGGAGCTCTGGTAGCGTAGTGGTTACGAATCGGGCTGCAAACCTTAAGGCCAGCAGTTCAAAACTACCAGCTGTTCAGTAGGAGAAAGATGAGGCTTTCTGCTCCCATAAAGATTTACAGCCTCAGAAACCCTGTACAGGGTCACTGTGAGTTGGAACCAATTCCACGGCACATAACAAGAACAACTCCCATAAAGATTGACAGTCTCAGAAATCCTACAGACCAGTCCTCCTCTGACCTACTGGGTCAGTATGAGTTGAAATAAACTCAATGGCATTGGGCTAAACTCAATGGTATTGGGCTATAGGACAAGGATTTTGGGCCATTATGGATTGAATTGTATCCCCAGAAAAAGATACATTCAAATTCTAATCTCTGTGCCTGTGATTGTGACCCTTTTTGCAAATGAAGACCTTATCAGTTAGGTTAGCATGAGGTCACACTGGAGTAAAGTGGGTCTTAATCCTATGTGATTGTTGTTGTTGTTGTTGTTAAGTGCTGTCGAGTCGGTTCCGACCCATAGCGACCCTCAACAGGGTTTCCGAGGCTGTAAAACTTTACGGGAGCAGAAAGCCTCATCTTTCTCCGGCGGAGCAGCTGGTAGTTTCGAACTGCTGGCCTTGTGGTTCGCAGCCCGATTCATAACCACTACGCTATGTGATTGATGTCTTTATAAAAAGAAGATACAGAAAGACAGAGAAACAACAGCTATGTGAAGATAAATCTTCAAGCCAAAGAATGCCAAGGATCACTAGCCATCACCAGAAGCTTGGAGAGCAGCACAGAACAGAGCCTCCCTTAGAGATCTCCCTTAGAGACTCCTAGCCTTCAGAACTTAACTTTATGTTCTTATAAGCCATTCTGTTACAACCGCCTAAGTAACAGTAGTCTAAGGAACTGTGAGTGCTATTGGAAAGCTCAAGTTCTACCATTTGTATGTTCACAAAGGTATGGAGTACCTCTTCTGCAGCACCTATGCTGATGAAAAAAAAATGCTTGCTTGTCTATGTTCACTACAGCCCTACAAGAAAAAATATGAACTCCAATTTCCTATATTAATACTTTAAAAATTGTATTCATCTTTTTTTTTTTTTTCCTGTAACTTCATCTCAGTAGTGACAACCTGAAGCAGCTGAAGACCAAATGGATGTAATCAATCAGGACCTATTCTTGTTGCTAATATTTGTGTAATGTGTTAGGACACATTCAAACAGTATTAAGAAATCAGAAATTAGGACACTCTCAACTTCAGAAACAACTTCACTCAAAGAAATTTCTAAAATTATCTAAGTGCCAGTGAACTCTATGCCTAATGACTCAGAAGTCCTAACTGAAAAGCACTCATTATGTATCAAATTTTAGATTAATGGATGCCCAGTTCTGACTTGAAATCCCTGGTTTACAAAATTTTCCAACTTTTAAAATATCTTCAATTCTAACGACAATTCAAAACAAATTATTTTTCATGAAATGAATTACATTACAATGCTAAGTATTGACTCTCTCATCTTTTTTAGCTTCTTTTCATAAGTTATTTTCTACTATCAAAAGCTTTCCACTCAAACAGAAGAAGAAAGAAGAGGGAAAAAAAGAATAATCTGATACAATTTGATGAACTTGACCTACACCTATGGATGCAGTAGCTCAAAAAGGTAACAAATCTTTTACAGCGAGGACCATCCCACCCCCTCCATACACAGAGTAGACAGGGATGGGCAACTTTGACATTGGCTACCCGGAATGGGGGGGCTACAGAGGCAAGAAGTGACTGGCTTACAAGCTTTCAAAAGGGAACCTAGATCCAGAGGGCATGGAGCAAGGTAGAATCTCTACTGAGTAGTACCCATTCTGCCTAGTCAGGGCTGATGAAAGAAGATGCGGATAGGTCTCTTGTGATACAATAGCGAATAATTGTTATCAGGACTGATTGTAAGGGCTGGAAATGTAACGGTAGACGTTTTGTGGCAAAGGGAGGGGAGTGATTAACTTTGCAGTCTAGGAGTGGAGGTCCCTGGGACCATCACAGGAGAAGAGCAGAGAACGGAACCCTATCCAGAGAAGCAGTGATGCCAGAGATGGAGGCAGAGACGATGATGTGGGGAGATGGAGCAGCTGAGGACTTTGGACCCGGACAGGGAGAGAGGCGGTATGCAGATGACCAGGGGCAGGCTTGTGGGGTATACCCTTTGGTTGATGGATGATGCATGGAAGGGATTGTAACCATGGCAAGAAAATGATATACGACGAGATCAATATGAAGCTGATGTCCTCCCATGTAAACTATCACATAATTCACAATAAAGCATTGAAAAAAAAAAAAAGCTTTCTACATTTCTTACAGCCAGACAGGCTCCTTCTAAACCATTCCTATCTTAACTATGCCAATGTTGTTTATAAAACTGGAAAAGAGATTCCACCATCTTTCTAAATGCTAAGTGCAGTATTATCCCAGAACTTCAATTGAATAATCTAATTTAAATTTTTTCTACTGAAATTTAAGACAATTTCTGCTTGTGAGAAATAGCTGACATTTACATATCTGTTTGCCTTTCAGCCAAAAATTAGGGTCCAAAAGGATTTTGGGTGTGGTGCTGTGGATCAGCACTGGACTGTGAACCACAAGGTCAACAGTTCAAACCCACCAGCTGCTCCTTGGAAACCCTATACAGGGTTGTTATGAGTTGGAATAGACTCAATGGCACTTAACAACACAACAACAACAATACTATAAAGGAGTCCTGGTGTGGCGCTGTAGAATAAGCACTAGACCTCAAGGTCGATTTGAACTGCAAGGTGGCAGTTCAAACCCATCAGCTGCTCCTTGGAAACCCTATACAGAGTCCCTATGAGTCAGAGTCAACTAGACAGCACTTAACAACAATGTCAGAATAAAGGATGAAAGTGTTAACTGTGAGATAGGGTTCCAACCATCCTTCAAAGAAGGTTGCTCAGGGTCCACAGAGGATCAAAAGTGCCCCCTATTCCTATATTTAAAGACTGGAGTGAGACAAAACAAAGTATTAGCTGATTATCTGTGAGTGACAGAATAAAAGTATTTTTATTCTTTCTTATATTTTTGATTTTTCTTTTTCCTACAATAAACAGGAACTGTGAAAAATTCCTCTGCTTGTGATTTAGCAGAGTGCAGTCCATACACTCCAACATAAACGCCAAAGCATAATCAGTTTGTTCATTCCTTTTCTTATTCCTACATTCACAAATCATTTTTGATTATCAACTGTGTGCAAGTTGTTGTGGAAAATGCAAAGGTAAAAAGATGTCATTTTTCAAAGAAAGATCACACACTATCAGGAATAATTGC